GAGTCAGCAGCAAAGTCAAGGATACCTTCACTGTCTCCTTGACTCAATGTGTTTTGCATTTATCCTCCTTCCCCAGACACAGGACCAGATGGGGGAAATACTATAGACAGTCATAGGTGGCTAAAGAGTAAGCTGTAGCTTCCTCCTCTCTCACCACTATAAGACAGAATTGTGTGCCGAGCTTTAAAAAGTGTCTTATAAGAATGTCATTAGTTCAATTACACAAGGAGCTATAAATAAGCTTATGGAGTTTATTAAATTTGTGAGCATTATATTACTGTTAGTTTTGTTATACTAGCAATTAATGCCTATTAAAAAGAAGGGTCTGGAATCCTGCCCTGACTTCCAGAATTCTGGGAAAAAGAAAAGTTCTAGAAGGGTATTTCTGTGCATCCTCCATTAAAATAGTCCTGCTCACAGGTATATGGTTCGTTTGTCTGTATATCACCTACTTAATGGACAGTACTATGGCCACCACTCTGAGACATTCAGGCGTATAAATATATATTTATATGTGAACACGTAGAATGACTCTTTACATATATGTTCTCGCCACCAGCTTATAATCCTCTTTAGGGAAGGTTCAAATGTCTGTTTTATTTTTGTGTCTCTGTCTGGTTTTTAGCCCAGAGCCTTTATCGTAGTGAGCACCAAATGGACATTTGTTGGCTGGCGTCTGGTCTGCTGGCCATAAATATTCAAGATGAGCACAGAGGCAATGGGGTTGGACAAGTTTTGCTAAAACGTATCATTCTTTAAATGCATAAACCCTGTTCTCTTCCAGAGCACATTTCTGACATCAAATACTGCTGAAGCCTACAAGCTCTATTTTATTTTCTCTGTGACAAGGAGTCTGTGAAATGAGACACTTCGGGCAGGGAATGACATACGACTTCATATCATTCTCCGCCCACGATGTCGTCATAACCTCTTAGCCCCAGTCCCTCCAGCTTATATAGTGCTGGCTGCGAGCATCATCCGAGGTTACAGTGTCATCCCGGCGTCTCACATCATCACTTTCCATTCCCTCCAGCGTCTGGAGTCCCATTTTAGCCGTGGGAATCATGTGGCATGGCATGTCTATAACGTCGCTCGTAGAGATACCGTTACTGGTTTGCCTCTACTGTCCGGCGACCCCACTCCAACACCAAGTATCACATGCCGTGCGTGTGATTGAGGATAAGAGGAGCTAAGCAGAGGGCTATGCCTGCAGCACACGTTTCCAATAGAAACTGTGAGCAAGGCACTTTCTCTGTGTTCAGCGACAAGTGTGGCTATAATATCCATGTAGCTATAACCCACATCACATTTTCCCTAGAGTACGTGATAATAGAATAAAAATCCCCCCTCTGAATATCAAGAGCTTCAATTATCCTGCAAATCCTCCTGCGATTTCATCCAGGTTGCCATCCAAGCAGTGGAGGCAGAGATTTTTTAGTAACCTATTTTTCTACTGAGGAACAGTGCTTTAGGACAATCCTTTTCATTTTATTGCTATTCGGTTCCAGACCCATACATGTAAAGAGAGAAGTACAGAAATAGAATCACAGGGACAAGCACAGAAAGCAGTGGAACAAAATACTTTTTAAGAGCTACATGGTCTTTATGGAATTTCCTTTCTAAATACTCGGAATCATCAAAAATAGGCCCTGGCTGCCTTTTTTTGGTCCTGGAAAGCTCTAGGTCTTGTACCCCCCCTAACCCCTCCGATGGGTCGGAGCGCTTAGGGTAAGGGTCCCTTCCAGAGCAGCTGCCTAGGAATTTGTGAGCTTACGTTTGCCAGTCGGTTGCCAGGTTTCTGGAGTGTTAGAATAGTAAACAGTTGTTTCTCAGAAACAGAGATAGGGTTATCCACAACCTCACATGCTAAATTTAAATTTAATAAAGCTGTTTCCTAACCACTGAGATCAGTGGTTTTCGACCAGGGTGGGGGTGAAGAGAGATCCATCTCCAGGGGGAAAGAAGTAGCATGTGGAGTTCGAAAAAGACCCCCCAGTCATTCTGTATCCCACCTCCAAATCCCAACATCTCACCGGAGAATCGCTGGCACAGAGCTGACTTAGACCCCCCTACCTTTTTCTGCAGTTTGCCCACAATGTTCCTGACCTTTCCAAAAGGAACCTATGAAGCTCTCAGGGAAGATCACACAGGGAGATGTCATGAAGTCCTTGGCCACCGTCCCTGGTGTAGCCCTGTGAACTTTCTCACGGTTATAAGGGAGTAGCCAGAGAGACTGAAGAGTCTAATGAGAATGAGGTGGGTATAATTAAATGTTGACAACAGTTGATGGAGAGTCTTAGGTTTGATCCTTGGAGCTGCTGAAGATTTAGAGTGTGAATTTGGATGTCATCAGCCACGTCTCCCATAATCCCTGTGGAACAGGGGATGGCTGCCCAGAGGAATGGCAGTGAAGCCTGTCAGTGAAGCCTGAACGCGCCCATGCCTCAGACACACCCTTCCACTCAATACCCTACTCTTAAACACCATGAATTTGGGAGGGAGGCTTCCTTCTCAGGCCGGGCGCGGTGGCTCACGCCTGTAAGCCTAGCACTCTGGGAGGCCGAGGTGGGCGGATTGCTCGAGGTCAGGAGTTCGAAACCAGCCTGAGCAAGAGCGAGACCCCGTCTCTACTATAAATAGAAAGAAATTAATTGGCCAACTAATATATATAGAAAAAAGGAGCTGGGCATGGTGGCGCATGCCTGTAGTCCCAGCTACTTCGGAGGCTGAGGCAGCAGGATCGCTTGAGCCCAGGAGTGTGAGGTTGCTGTGAGCTAGGCTGACACCACACCATAGCACTCTAGCCTGGGCAACAAAATGAGACTCTGTCTCAAAAAAAAAAGAAAAAGAGGGAACGCACAGACATCATTTGTTTGAGCCATGACTAAAAACCACCTTTGACCTTTGAAATCAAAATGTGTATAAGAAAACCAAAACAAGCCTATATTTAAAAAAAAAAAATCACTGGTAGTTTTCTGTTTGGTAGGCCATGAAGAATTGCACATAACTATGGGGAAGACAGTTTCTTAATTCTGTGACTAGCTCTTGAATTGGCTATTTAGTTATGCAAGTAAAAGACAGAGCTCCAAATGGGAAGTGGAGACCAAGATGGCAGACATTCCTGGATGGCTCCCCAACAAGTGGCCATGGCCGTACTGCAGTGTTTCTCCAGGTGGTCCTGAGCCCTTTCAGGTGGCCTATGAGGTCAGAACTATTTTTATAATAATACTAAGACATGATTTGCCTTTGCCACTCTCCTCCCCTCATGAGTGTGCAGTCAAATTTTCCTGACGCTACCTGATACGTGATAATAAAACAGATGGCTGGCGCAGACAGGGGAGCCCAGCCGTCTTCCACGAACACAGATAATAAAGAGATGAGCAGAAATGTAAATAGAGTTATGTTTTATAAAAATACATTCTTTATGTTAAATTTAGGGTTCACATGTAATGGGTTTGTTGTTATTTTAAAATGAATTAATATAATATTTTTTCAACTTTTCAGTTCTAATTTCTAATATGGTAAATATTGATAGCTATAACTCATGTAAATAGAAGCTCTTTATGGATCCTCAATTTTTAACAGTATAAAGGGGGGGTCCTGGGAAGAAAATGCTGAGAACAGCTATGACAGTGAATGCTGGAGGCAGATTGAAGTAGACAGAGGGTAGGCTTGAGATCCCGCTTGGCAGCCTGGAGGGGTCACCGTTTCTGCATAATTACCTGTGCCTTGGCACCCCTGGAGGGAAGCCATAGACCCTGACAGCCATTCCCAATCCCTTTCTCACTTGCCTGCCTCCTATCATAAAACAGATACTTGCTTTCCTGGGCTACTTTACAACCGGCAGTGGCCACACATCTCAGTCCCCAGCAAGAAGACATAAAAAGAAGTGGATGGGGATTGTTTCTAAGAAAGCTATCGCTTCCTTACAAAAGCTGCATGTGGGAGAAAAGAATATGGAGGCATCAGCCCTTCCCCTCCCTCTTGCCCTGAATGCCTGGAGCCGAGGCAGCTGGATGGCAACTGTGAGAGGCCAAGCATATGGCCTTTGGGATGGTGGAGTGGGAAAACTGGCTTAGACAGCACCATTGCGCAGCCTAACCCTATTTGTGCAGCCCAATCCTATTTGTTTAAGCTACTGTTATCTCAACTTTCCTGTTCTAAGCATCCCAAAACATGGTTAATGAATGCAGTTATCTAAGAAGTTCCAAAGCCACGATGCGAACTTGCTCTGTGTAGCACAGTGAAGAACTGTCTATGTGGCCAGTGCAGTGCGGTGCTGCAGGATTGGGTTGCCTTGAGAAAAATGTTTTATTGTGCATTTTTTCTTAATTATGCTTAGAGATTGCTCTATGCATGTGGTGATTCTACATGAAAGATTCACCTGGGCTGAGAGTTGGCCCTGTTTCAGTATTGTTATGGTTCTGCTGTTCATCACTTCTGTATTGATGTTGCACATTTGGGACAAGTACATTCATTCATAGATTCAGTTACATCCATCTGTCATTTAAAGAAGGAAGAAAAAACCCAACATATCTTGGACCAAAAGTATGGTGATTTTCTGTTCATGAGAAAGAAATTTTCTTACCGTTTTACAGGGGACTTAACAAGAATTGATTTAGAGCAATCAGGTTTTTTCTATGGCTAATAAACTTTTTAATTCATTAAAAAAATAGAATTGGTCCCTCTACCTTCAGTGTTCTCCTAGCATTTTACTTATACTACTAATGCAGCTTTTCATCCTTTTTGTATTCTATTTGGTTGCATGTGTATCTCCTCCTCTTGACTCTAAATTCCTTTAGATCTGGGATACAGCACCATTACCTGCCATTTGCACATAGAAATTACTCAGTAAATGTTCTTTGAATGGAACATTTTGATTTACTGAGGCAACCTTTGTCAATGCCTTTTGATATGCTATTTTCACACAAAATGTACAGAATCCTAGAAGAATATATTTATCAGATTAAATTTTTTCTTATGATATTTATTTATAAGACAAAGATGCACAAGTATAAGACTTTCATTTATAGTTGAAAGTATACAGCTACTTTGAAAGTCTGGCCAGTATCTCTTCAGGTCCACTGGGAGTTAGTCAAGACAAGTCAGCCCCTTCCCTGAAGATCTTCTGAAATATATAGTGGGAGTTTCTCCAGAAGCCTTAATTCTCATCATCATGTATAAATTAACATAAATCATGCGCATTTCTATTCACTTTAGTGAAGATCCACAGAATAAAGGGAAATAATTTTGCTAAAAAAAGAAAAAGGAAGAAAGTATAAAGGTTGACAAAAAGATAAATGAGGCTGGGTGCGGTGGCTCACGCCCTTAATCCTAACACTCTGGGAGGCTGAGGCTGGAAGATTGGTTGAGCTCAGGAGTTCAAGACCAGCCTGAGCAAGAGCAAGACCCCATCTCTACTAAAAATAGAAAGGAATTAGCTGGACAACTAAAAATATATAGAAAAAATTAGCCAGGCATGGTGGCTGATGGCTGTAGTCCCAACTACTAGGGAGGCTGAAGCAGAAGGATCACTTGAGCCCAGGAGTTTGAGGTTGCTGTGAGCTAGCTGACACCACGGCACTCTAGCCCGGGCAACAGAGAGAGACTCTGTCTCAAAAAAAAAAAAAAAAAAAAAAATAGAATAATGAGACTAAGACTGAATTAAGTTAAATAAGCTTTAGTACAGTTATAATATATTAATAGAATACTATGCAGCAATGCAAAAGAACGCAGTCTATCTGTATGTTCTCAGATAGAAAGACCTCTAACATATGCTGTTAAGCAGCTCCCCTTCTAACCTTCCCTATTTTTAGTAGAATTACAATCTTCCGCTAACACAGGCTCATCACTCATCTCTTTTCACATAAATAAGTCACGAAGTCCTTTCCTCTTCAAGATCTGCCATCTTAATAACTTAATTCCAACCTACAGCACTACATGTTGAAGTTCTATAGTCTTGTCTGTTTCTGGTTTCTTCTGGCTCTATTGCTCCACGTTAAGTCTTCCCAAGATGTGACTTTGTACACATTATGCCTTTGGCTCACATTTTTCAGGAGCATGCATTCAATCACTTAAGCCTAGCAATCAAGAGTTTTCATAAATTCACCTTTACCTAAACTGAGGTTTCAATATTGTCTTCCATTATCTACTTGATTTGTTTTCTAGCCAAACTAGTAGGTTTTGTTTGCATTGATCCAGTCTTGCTCCTGGAATTCTGGGACTCACCTTGCCTTCTTCCATGTGGAGTACCACAGTGGAAGGCACTAGACCTGGAACTGGATCACCTGGCTTCTGTTCTCTATTGCTCACTAGCAGTGACGTTGGCTGGTGGATCCATCTCCTTGGACTCTGCTGCGTCACCTGTGAGGTAGACATAGTAGTGGCCACCTTGACAATTTCTACAGGTTGCTATAAGGAGCAAATGAGCTATGTCAGAAGGTGTTTAGAGAAGTGTAAATACCAACACCACTGTAAGGTTTAATGACTAATAAAAATGCAGACCAACTTAGAGCTCTTCAACTCGACCTTTCTCAGCCTTCAATAATCCCCTTGTTATTGCTAATGTTCCTCATTTAGCTGCCTCATTGTATGTTTCTTTTTTCTAAATGTATTTTCTTCCCAGCTATATGACACTTTTAGCATCATCTAGAAGAAATGACATTTTGGCCTCTTGGTATTCCCCAACTGTCACACAGCCGATCAGTGGGGCAGTTGTCCCCAATATCACTATTAACAGCCTCACCTTTTACTTTCAGGTGACAGATTCTGGTTTGGACAACATGTTATCTGGTTACCTTATTAGCAAATGACTGTGGATCATGGTAATGGTGAAGAAGCATCCTTCATGCTACATTTTCTCTTCTTTTTTTCACTCTTCCTTCCTTTCTCAGTGTTACACCAGATGTTTGATGTTTGTGTCTGAAAACAAAACAAAACCATTTATTAGCAGCTCTTTCACATGGAAATAAAGAATTGTAATTTTCATTTCAAGTGCAGCAGCATATTAGGATGAGATAATCATCTTCTGAAAGGCTGTGTGCAAAATATTGCTCTTCTGTTTTGGGCTTAGCTAATGGAGACAAGGGCAGACTCTGGTTGGCACAGAGATGACACTGCGGAATGGACTTGACATTCTCCAAGTAGCCTGAACTAACCCTTTGGGTCGGAATGTAAGAGCAGTATAAAATCGGCAGGTGACACAATACGATAGCAATTTGGTCCCCTGATATTTTAAACCACCATTATAATATGTTATATAAGGAAGAAAGACATGTTTTCAGATCTCGATTTTCCACTGGGGTCTAAGAGAATAAAAAGTAAATTTTTATTTAATCCCTAAGCAGCCAATTAAGATGTGACACACCAAAGCAATGTGATTTTAGGACTTAGATTCTTGTCTCAATAGCAACTATTGCCTTATTCTGAATTTAGCATAGACGTTTTGGCCACAGGTACGGTTTGTGAGAATTCTCCCTTTGGCAGCGACGTAGGACATCTCATTCTCTGAGTACAGAGGCTCGACTTCGAGTTTGGCACCTGTTTCAGCACGAGCATCTGTGGGGAAAACAGTGTTTCTCTACTTTCTCACATAGAACACTTCTGTGATCAAACGTGTGAGGCTTCCCCCCATATCCAGCAACTCCAATTCTCTGCGGACACCACCTGCACGTCCTACAATTTAATTCTGTCCTGACACTAACCAGAGTTAGCACAGGGCCCACAGGTTAAGGGCTCAGTTCCACAAAACCGCCCTCCCCCCTCCACTTCAGATGCCACCCACAAGTCTCAAGTTGTGACCTGTATTTCTGTCCAACTGGTTATAAACAAGGGTTCCAACAACCCCCTCTTGGGTTTTGACTGTCTGCTAGAGTGGTTCACGGAACTCAGGAAAACAGTTTATTTACCAGGTCACCAGTTTACTATAAAGGATACAGGTCAGAAACAGTCAGGTGGAAAAGATGCACAGGGTAAGGTATGGGGGAAGGGAGGCAGAGCTTCCATGACCTCGCCAGGTGTGCCACCATGTGTTCAACCAGGAAGCTCTCCAAGCCCCATACTTCAGGGATTTTTATGGTGGCTTCATCACATTGGTGTGATCTGGACTGAGAGTTTCAAGCTTCTAATCATGACTTGGTCTTTCTGGTGACCAGCTCCCATCCACAAACCCACTTAATTAAAACAAAAGATGCTCCTATCACCTAGGAAATTCCAAAAAACTGGGAGCTCTCCATCATGAATCAGAGTCAAATACCAAATAGTAGAGAAAAAGATTCTCCTAGCACCCCTATAAACTCAGGAAATTACAAGGGTTTGAGCAGCTCTGTTACAGGAACCAGGAATAAAGATCGATCGATCTATCTATCTATCTATCTATCTATCTATCTATCTATCTATCTATTTCTTATTATAAATCCCAATATCACAGCACCCTTGATGTGGAAAATGGAGTAGATTCTGACTTGGAGAGATAAAAGTTATAGGACAGGAGTGTTCAGAATAAATGCTTATGGCTGGATCGTCCCTCCTGGAGTATGTACAACTTTGGTAAAAGCGATGCTGTGTTAGTGTTCAGTATGCTTAGACACGCTTTGGAAAGCAAAAGGTTTCAGAGATGATGGTGTGTTCAATTACTCCAGTGCTGTAAGGTAAATATCAACACTTTGGTGGAACCTAAGTAATATCTTGTGGGTTTGGAGGATAAATTTTACCCAAGTGCAGGCATACAGATACATGTTTTAATCTTCTTATGATTTGGTTTGACTGAATTTTGATCTTTGTTTCTATTTTTGGTTACTTTTACCAGGAAAATGTCTTACATTCTCCACGAATATCATGCAGAATCCACCTTCTGAAGTGGTTCTCAATCTATGCTCCTGCATAAATTCTCTTGCTCCACAGGGTGAACTTAGGTGTTCTGCTGGTGAATTCAAAGAATAGTGATGGTTTCCTAATGTTCAGAAAATGGTAATTTAATGCATGAGATTTTTCTCAACTTTTAATCATTTTTTCCCATAATTGTATTTAAACTTTTGGTTTAAGAACTTGAGTTGGCCAAAGGACAAAATAAGTAAAAGTCTAGCAAATAAATAAAAACAAAAAACTCATGCTTCGTTAGGTTTCTGTGTGCTTTTTCTATGTTTATATTTATAGTCATGATTTTATATTACATCTATTAAATAGAGTTATCCTTTTTTTCAGATTTTCTTGGTTTTGATGAGGGGGCTGAATGGAAGTGATATGATTGGAGCTGCTTTCTGGGAAGGTCAGTCTGTATGGGATGGATTGGATCCCGCAGGAAACAGGTAGGATCCTAGGATCGATTGTCCAGAGAAGTAGTTATTGGTAGCAATTTTTTTTTTTTTTAGTCCTTATGCCACAGCCATGCCAAGGTGAACATACAATAAGTATTAATTCTCAACAATAACTGGTAGCTGCTACCCCCATGGAGTTAGTAACTAAGACAGATCTGGCTGAGCATGGTGGCTCATGCCTATAATCCTAGCACTCTGGGAGGTGGGAGGATCACTCAAGGTCAGGAGTTCGAGACCAGCCTGAGCAAGAGTGAGACCCCATATCTACTGAAAATAAAGAGAAATTAGCTGGACAACTAAAAATACATAGAAAAAATTAGCCAGGCATGGTGGTGCATGACTGTAGTCCCAGCTACTTCAGAGGCTGGGGCAGAAGGATTGCTTGAGCCCAGGACTCTAAGGTTGCTGTGAGTTAGGCTGATGCCACAGCACTCTAGCCCAGGCAACAGAGTGAGACTCTCCCTCAAAAAAAAAAAAAAAAAAAAAGACAGATCTACCTAGAATCCCTCTGACCTTGGATCCTTAGAGATAGCCTCCGTTTAAAGGTGGGGCAAGTTGTGCCTACAATACTCCAAGGAACACCATTCACATCAGGGAAATCACAAATTTATATGGAGGTGATGACAATTTTCTGCCTTACGCCTTCAGAATGTCCTGAGGAAGGGAATTCCCTTTCTAATTTGCATACGTTCTCCCTGTATGCAAACAGTGGACACGATACTTGTCAGGAAAGAAGGTTAAATTCTTGGTGTTTTCAGAGTGTTTTGTTGTTGTTTTGTTTTGTTTTTTAAAGACAGGGTCTAGCTCTGTTGCCCTGGGCTAGAGTGCAGTGGTGTCATCATAGCTCACTGCAGCCTCGAACTCCTGGGCTTGGACTACAGGCATGCACCACCATTCCTGGCTAATTTTTCTATTTTTTGTAGAGATGGGGTCTTGCTCTTGCTTAGGCTGGTTCTGAACTCCTGGCCTCAAGTGATCCTCCTGCCTCGGCCTCCCAAAGTGCTAGAATTACAGGTATGAGCCACTGCACCCAGCCCAGTGTGGTTTTACCTAACATGTCCATGTTAGATGAAAGCTAACTAGTACCCTTCACCTCCAGTGTGCCAAAATCTCATCATTCCAGTGAATCTTTACTAAAATTGGCATCCCAAACAGTAGTGGACTCACACCATCCTTCGTGAGCATGTCGTTTCTCAGTCAGTCTGATAAAACCTTAATGTAGGCAACGGCTCTTGTTGCCGTTCCTGTTCCTATGTCCTCTTGGCAAAACTCGTCTACCCCAGGGAATCAAAATAAATGGATTTTTGGCTTCATACTTCCCCATGCTGTTGACACTTACAACTACAGATCTATATAAAACCCAAGTGCTGTTATCAGCTCTGACTGAGAGGAAAACAAGTCCAAGAGGTGTGCCTGGGTAGGAATTCCCATCCTAAAAAAAGATGTGAATATCTTCATTTTGTTGGTGAGAATCCCTAGCCTTCCCTCTGCTCACAGCCTGCTTGGCTGTGGAGCTGGAGTCTCGTGGAGCAGTGAGGAAGGCCTGGCCCATTCGGAGTGGACGGATGAGACTGGACCTCACTCCGCCCTATTTTGGCCTACGAGGGCTTGGCCGCATGCGCACAGCAGCCTCAGCTGGATGGATTAGCAGACTGGCAAGATGCTGGTGACCAAAAGAACGATTGCTACATAAGCCTGTTTCTTCAGGTATAGGAGTAGCTTAAGGGTTCTGAGTAGTTTTTCAGGTGCCTTTTAAAAATGACATTTGTTCATGCACCCAAAGTTTATTTGGAAAACCAAAACTATGAATAGGACCAGCTACATACTTTTTTAGGGCCCAGTATACATGAAAATGCAGGGCATCTTGTTCAAAAATTAAGAATTTCAAGTTGTCGGTGACAGCAGAGTATGAAACCAAGCACAGGACTCTTGCCGGGCGTTGTAGGGAGGGAGCTGTGGGACTGCACGGGTTGCACACCCATGAAACAGCCTGGACAATGAATTCGCTTTGTTCGCTCTCTCCCCTTTGGCTAGAATTTTCTCCCCTGCCACAAGCTCAGGGTTCCCAGGGTGTGGTCTGCTGGAGAGCACCATCGACAACATTAGAGAACTTGTTGGAAATACCCAATTTGAGCCCCAATCTGTGTTTTAACAAGCCCTCCAGGTGATTCTGTCTCATGTTCAAATTTGAGAGCCATTCTCATAGGCAATGACTAAAATTATGGATTTTGGAATAGAAACAATCTTAGGGATCATATGTCCTGACCACGTGATGATTTCCTTCTTATGAGGAAATCAGGGCAGGGTGAGGCAGAGTGAGGTCTACAATTCACGTTTAGCTCTCTACTCCTCCACTGAATACATGGCACCAAACGGTCTATTTCATTAATTAATTACTCATAGTCACCTTACCAGCAAAGCCAGGTCATATCCCAATTTTAAAGATGAGGAAATCAAAATGCCGTAAGTATTCAATGAGTCGACAAGTGGAGCTGGGATTAAAACCCAGAGCTCCTAAATCCCCTATCTGTGGCCCTCTAGCCAAGTCTTCAGGTAATACGATACAGCCAACAGGTGGGCTAAGCTGCTTTCCACTCCCCAATAGTA